TTCCAGAGCAGAGTGTTCTTATTAAGGCTGAAAGAAAAGCTTATGAAATTATGACTGCGGATGGACAGTGTATATGGGCATTCTGTTTGGAAGCCACTTTGCTCAGTCTGAGAGGGCACTGAGTCCAGACTAAACAGGCTATAGATAATTGCCTCTAGATAATTGGATTATGTGATAAATTAAGCTGTTTGTGGAGCAGAGATGGATTTTAGGAGGGAGAGAGGTGACAGGCCATTATGGAACAAAGGGAGAAGAATCATCAGCTCTTGTGAAATTAAGACAAGCTGTAGCTGCCTTTATGGCTGTAGCTAGTGTGGTCCAAAAGCTGATACTCCTATCAATGTTGCTTAAGTATGTATACAACTCCTTACACTTGCTTGTGTAGAATGTATTCCCTGCGTTTGTTATAACTATGCTGCTTTGACATAACAAACTGCTTCAGCCCGTGAGAAAAATTATGGGAACCAAATTCATATCTAATGAAATTTTATCAGGCTCCCTACTGGTTTGAAATGTAGACAGATAAAAGTTTCTTGTTTTTTTTTTTTTTTTTTTAATTTATAAAGCCGAGGATTTTGTTAATTAGTAAAAGTCAATCTGATGAGCAGACATACGTTAAGAAGCACCTTCCTTCATACTGTTAATTTTTGTAAAAGACACTAATTCTTCTCAGTTGTTGCAAGGATCTAGTCCAAATTCATTGTCTACATTTGCTTTGGTTTTAATGGAATGGGAGAGAGAGAGAGAGAGAGATTAAGACCTTCAGGGTGCATTTCCATCCCAGCTGGCTTAGGATGAGGTAAATTGCTTTCTGAAGATGCTAGCATCTCTTGGTTTATCAGTAGGTATTTTCTTTTCACACAGCTGAGGTTGTGGGAGGTGAATCCCACTAAACATTTCGTTTGTTAAGATCATTGTGTGGGCTGTGACCTAAACATTGTGGTTTATATTTCTTGTGCAATTCTTATTTATATTTTAGCATAACTGTTAAAATCAGGTAGCCTTGCTGGCTATATGAACAACCAGTTCTTGAATCCCATTAAGCTCTTGGCTCCTGTGCATGCCCCACACATGTGAATTCAATAAGCTGAGTGTACTGATTGTGAAGCAAGTATTTACTTTCTTCTATTTGCTTGTGAAGCTGTGCAGATTAATTGCATCACCTTGTTCTTGCGTGAGGAGGCAGAAACAGAACCCATTTTATTACTTTCTCTTTCAAGTCAAATTATACAAATGTTTTTGGAGTTTCTCTGGTAACTTCTGTAAGAGTCCTCCTCTTGTCTGCCAAAGTCTTACTGTGGTGGGATTATCATAGCATCATTAAGGTTGGAAGAGACCTCAAGGATCATCAAGTCCAACCGTCAACCCAACACCCCCTAACTCACTAAACCATGTCCCTAAGCACCACATCTACACGTTTCTTGAACACCTCCAGGGAT